GATTGTAGGTAAAATTATATTTCTTCATTTCTGTAGTTACATTTAATAAGATTTTATGTGTACGGATTGTTGTCTTTTATGATGAATATATTATTGGATGGTATGATGTTTGAGTATATTAAAGATATTGTTGGATTGTGAGAACGATTAGGTGTTGGGGCAGCATACATCTTGTATATTGGTTTGATTGTGGTGGGCGGGAGAGGGGTGGTGGTGGGAGGGAAAGGGAGAAAGATGATGGGAGAGACAGACACGGTGGAAGAGATCCCCCGCCGAGAGAACATCGTGATCGGGATCGAGAACGGGGAGGCGGGAGGGATAGAGATCGGGATAAAGACCGAGATCGGGACCACCCTCCGCGTGAGAGAGAAAGGGATGGCCCACCAAGTCACCGTGACAGGGATATGTTGCGGGATCGAGACCGTGACAGAGGAGGAGGACGGAACTCGGAGCGGGCGGGGAGATGAGGATGGGTTGTTTGTTTGACTTTTTTTGTTGTTGATCATTTTATCTTGTTAGCGGGATACCACACCACTTGTTGCCAGCGAGGGTTTTTCTTTTTGTTTTTTTTTTGCTATGGGAATGGTATGGGATGGGGATGGGGGAGTTTAAAGGTTTTGTTTCAAGTGTAAAATGGGATTGTCAGACATAAATCAAGTATGCAGATATGGGGATGGAAAGCGGATTAACTCACAAAGAGAAAGGGGGGTGTTGTTGTTGTTACTGTTGTTGTTGTTGTATTTGAGGTGTGTGATATTGAGTGTTTATCTTGGAAAGAGAGAGACTGTCGATGGATGAATGGATGGATTTGTTTAATATGGGTTGTTGTTGTTCTTTTGTTCCCCGGGGGGGTCATGTATGAGATTGTGATGTTGGGGGGGGGGGGGCGATATATGGACTTGATACCAGCCATGTTTTTGAGGTACCTGTGAGGGGAGCTGGGGGGTAAAATGGATGTAAATGATACCTGTTAGCTGTTGGAAATTTTGAAGATGAGTTGGCTGTGATCTGGACAGCAGGTGTGAAAATGGCCGTGATGTGATATTTACGGTGGTTAACAGGGTGCAGGACCCGTGGTTGATGGTCCATGGAGAGAGGTTATATCTATTTTGAGCACACTAGGTAAGGTAGGTACTTTTGTAAACGCAATCTTTGACTCATTCTATCATTAAGTTCTGAAGATTTGACTTTGGGGGATTAAGTGTCTTTCTCAGTCACCATTTCTATCTCACGGGCACAAACAATAGCTCACTCCCAGTCAGACCTTTTTGCTTTGTTGATTCATGCAGGGCATAGCAGGCGAACTACCTCCTCACACAGGTAACAAAACACCTGTTGGGTTTCATCAAAGGAAGGGTGGTTAGTGATTATAATGCGAATATACCCGAGGCTGTAGGGGAGAAACAAAGTCGTTTGTGACGGCGATTCATACATCTCATTCGCTATGGATACCCATCATGTTCTTCGGTGATAGATCGTGGCTATATCTCCATTGTTTTGATGGTCTCGAAGTTGCAATATTAACAAGAGTCCATTCACGAATCACTTGATTATTCCTGGTAGTGACAATCTCATAGTACTTTATCAAGTCTAATAAAAGTTAAGTAAATACCATTATTCTTCTCCATTCCACATCCCAATAACCCCTCCCGCCCCCGCCCCCGCCCCCTAAGCAGCAGCAAACTCCTTCCCTTCTCCCCGACAGCCCAGCAAAACCAAGCCCATCATGAAAAAGGTAATGTCTTCCCTTTTCTCACAGCCCACCCAACAGGTGGGTAACAGGTGAGCCACATTGGAAAAGCAAAGGAATTTTGATCTGATGATTTTAGATCCCCCAGAGTCTTCTCTTTGTTTTAAAGAGCATATCCCCCAGATCCCACTACACCGCCACCACACCACCCCTCAACTCCCCAACCCATCGATACCAAACCCGCCCAAGTACCCAGTCCAATGCTCACGACCCAACAGCAACAAAAAGACCACTTCATCATGAGGATGGCTGTCATCACGTGGAATCACCCAGCCTTCCCCGTCATAAGAAGCCGTCGTTGCTGAGATGTGGAAAGGTTAACAGTGAAGACACAGTAGAAGGGAGGTGTTATCAGGAAAGGGAAGAGAGTTTCACCACAGAGATCGTGCAACACTTTCCCGTCATGGACATGTACAGTGCTGTGAGGTGATGTGAGCTATAAAAATATATATAAAAATGGAGGGAAAGGGAAGGGGAAGGCGATGTCTGGGGGTTGGAAGCTAAGGGGAGGGAGGTGTGTGTTAGACGTAGACTACCTAAGTAGGTAAGTAGGTTCTCTTGCAAGATAGTGTTGCTGTTGAAGCGGGTTGAAGATAATGGTACGTTTGGTTTGGTTTTGTCAATGAATGACGACGTTCAGGTTGGTTTGGTTTGGTTCAGTTTTGTAATGTCAAATGATGACACGTTTGTTGAGCTGCGCCAGTTGCAACAGTTGCAGGAGCTGCATGCTTTGTAGAATTTGTTTGGTGGTTGAAAAGTCAACGAGGTCAACGATGGCAACGAGGTCAAAGTCTTCACCAGGCACGGCCATGCCGGCCTGGAGATGAAGAACACGATCGCTCAAGGGCGGTAGGGTCTGTCTGCAAGATGCGACGGTGAAGAGCATGGCTCTGGTGATGAGGATGCGGCAAGGTACACGCGGCAACACACGCATAGGTGAGGGGAACGGGCAGAGTGCATGAGGTGAGGATCGGAGCTGTCACGTGCGGTCCGTGGTCTTGTGAGTCCCGTTCACAAAGTTGGAGTGCGCTGGTACACATCTCTGGCAACACATCGGGATCATCAAACCTGAGAAGACCCAAAAGATGATCCGTCCTCTGCGGTTGATGGTTTGATCCCCCAAGTTCGTCGTGTCAAGCCCCCTGTATCGCGACGGCTGGTAATATTCCCCTCGAGCACCTGAAAAGACAAAGTCTTGGACTCCGGTGGCATGTGATGCCACGGCCTGCATCTAGTGCAGACCAAAGTTGATGTCTGATAGTACATAGTCCGGCGGCAGCTGTCACATTCTCTGCCTGGTAGCGTGAGCCATTCTCCCACGATGTCGTGTATGACATTGGGTCAACGACGGTTCCCAGTCAAATGACAAGTCCCCCAGAAGGGTAGCTCTGAGCAGGTCAATATGACTGAGATGAGTTTGCGTCATGGTAATACTTACGTGTGAATCACATCAGGCCTGATGTCCTCGTTGCGCGGCGAGGTTGAAGTTCATCGAGGGTCAAAGTTTACTGAGGTCAGAGTTCATTGAGGTCAGAGTTCATTGAGGTCAGAGTTCATTGAGGTCAGAGTTCATTGAGGTCAGAGTTCATTGAGGTCAGAGTTCATCCCAGAAAAGATGGGTCATGGTCCATTCAAGGGGATGTCCCGTATGGATGTGTCGCCAATGATCGTGGTCATGAGCAGGCAGGACATGATCCACGAGTTGGGTCGAGTTCACTGAACTGACTGACGAATGTCGATGGTATGTTTTGAAGAGTTCGCAAGTCTGCCGTCTTGGCTTTGGCTCGTTCCCCACGTATGAGAATTGTCTCAGAATTGGGAAGACGACTCATCATCATGCCGAGCTATGACCTGTCACAATAGAAGAACTCGTCTGGCAATAAAGCCATGGGAAGCTTTCAGAAACGCCACCCTGTGGAGGAGTGGCTGCTCGTGTTCACCAACTGTTATACCGCTTTTGACTTGTAATTATCCGAGAATAATACACATAACTGTGTTGAACTGAGAAACAAACTCTGCCCCATCCAGAATCACAGCTCGTCATCACCAGAATCCGTCTCACTCCCCGGTGGAGGAGTGGCTTCCTTTTTCGTCATGTTCCTCAAATCATGCCTCGTAGGCAGCGCCCCGTCCTTCTTTGGCGCAGGCTTCCTTGGTTGAGCTCGTGGCGGCGGAATAGGCTCGTCACCATCAGGCTCGCTACCCGTGGCGTCATCATCGGTGGTCTGGCGATCCTCACCCTCGGCGCTGACCTTGGCTGGCTCTGGCGTATCGATATCCATCCTGTCAGCATCACTAACCGGCCGAGCAAAGCCATCATCCGAGTCAGACGACCCTCCACCCGAAGCATCCTCCAAAGCCTTCCTCTTGGCTCGTCGTGATGGCGCTGGTTTCCTGTCTGCTTGGCTGCTGGCAACTTGCGCCACACGAGCCGAGATAGCATGGCCAGAAGATCCTGGCCGCGCCGCAGCCAACAACCGCTGCTGCTCCCGAATCTTAACTTTCTTCTCGTTGAGGATATCGCAGAATTTCTCCAGGATTTCCGACTCCCTATCCTTCTTTGCCTGTGTGAGTTCGTCCAGCTGATTTCTGAGCTCCGTGATCCTAGCTTCCAAGTCGGTTACTTTCGCCGTTTCGGTAGCCACAGTTTCTTGGAACTTTTCCCGCTCCAACGCAACAGCTCCGCACCAGTCAAAGAGCTGGACCTCTTCATCCTCCTTGTACTTGAGGGCCAGAGTTCCGAGGCGTTGGTTGATACCTTGTACTCGTCTCCTGACAGTAATAGTGAGCGACACTTCCGACTTGACTTCAGCACCAGCTTCGATGCCCTCGACCGGGTCCCCTCTGAGAAGAAAAGATTTCAAGATTGCTTCCCACTCTTCGGGTGAGCATGGGCTGTTGCTGACCCTGTATTCGCCAATACGGTCGTGCCTCACTGGTGTGATATTAGCACGACATGGTTCGGGTTTTTCCTGTGCTACAATTAAACGTACGCTTGATTATGAATGGGGCGTATCCGTCAGTGGCCACAAACTTGACGTTGAGCGGCTTGGATCCGGAAGGAGTGACTTGACCGAGCACGTAAGCCCCCTCCTGGTCGGTCCTGGGGATTCGTATGATGTGAGGGGTTGCCATATTGTGTGTACGAGGGCGGGATGGGTGTTTGGAATAGAAAACTGGATTGCAGTTCCTGCTGGAGGAGTGACGCCGATTGCTGGACGATTTGGGTGCCGCAGCGGCTGAAACGAGCCGTGAGATTTCAGGAGGAGCAAAATAAGAGTCCGAAGGTATAGCAGTTGACTCTTTTGAGCCAACGGCGCCGTGAGGAAAGCAGAATCTTGATGCTTTGAGAGACGGCCCGGAGCCAGCTCGCCGGTCTGGGTGCGGGGAAGGCGGGAAGCTCGCGGACAATGCTATTTTTCGGTTGATGAATCAAGAAGCCGAGACTTTTGGGAGGGTATACGGAATGGGATCGGATGCACGGGGGTGTGGTGATTGTAATGGTATAGGGGATGGAGTTTGATTATAAGAGGGAAAAGCAGGTCCAGGCAGCGAGGGCGACTCCAGGGGTTCAGGTCCTAGAAATTTAGGCAACACAGCTTAAACTCAGAGCAAATAGCTGTAAGGTAGCTATAGCAGCACACAACAAAGACTTCCGTAACGCTTGGTTTGGGATCGAAAAATGAAGGCATCAAATAGTTGCCCAACACAGCAAAAGGCTGGTGTGCCAATCTCAGAATGCGATGCAACAAGCGATGCAAAAAGGCAGGACGACAGTGGTTTCCGATGCCAATACCGATGAGGTCAGAGGTTGGCTCACCTTGCACCATGTGGCACACTTGCTATGGTCCCACGAAGACGACGAGGAGGAGAGATGGAGGAGAGATGAACTCTTGTATTTTGGTGACTCGTGTTAATAAGATTGCCATCTGATCATATTACTTTCTTTTCTTGTTGTGCCCGTCAGTGCGCTCCAATGTCCCCGATGACAGAAGTGTTGAGTGTGTGGCAGCTGTTGCTATTGGAGGGCGGGGGTTCGTGTTTTTGCGCGTCATGGACGCGACTCGCATGCTTTGCAGACGGCAGCAGACCGAACAGGCACTGCATGAGACATTTAGGGGAGGAGTGGCTAGATATTCCTGGAGTGCCACGGAGTGTAGACAGATATATCAGTTGATGAAGATATGAAGCCAGCAAGGGTGGAATGTTTGGCTGGGAGTGGATACACAAAGAAGACGATGTTGTGCATGTTTGGAGGGGGTTGAGGTGCTAAAACCGGCCCCCTGCGAATTATTTGGTGGCCCGGTGAATTCTT